GTTTTTTTTTGTGATGGTTAGGTTGTCCTCGATATCTTTATAATTCAGTAGTTTTTCAGGTATATTTTATCTGTCTCTTTGAGTATTAGCTTAAATTAATCTCTCCCGTTATCAATTATGATATCAAGAAAACATTGAGAAAAATATCAACAAAAGAGTCGTATTCAAAGAAATTGAGAAATATATATCACGTATGCAATGGTTTGTTTATGGTTGGATCAAATCCTAAATTAAACTCATATGCTTAATATATACTTTTACCACCTAAATTGCAACTTAATTAGTTGTTTGTGAAAAGAACCTTTCTGGCTTCATTCTTTTTCCAACATATATATGAATTCATAATTGATCAGCTAAAATCTCATTTTCCAGTTTGCTCCTTGGTGTTTCTAGACTTTGTTGCATAAGTTATCTGATCTAGAAAGCAAAAGTTCTAAGAATCAATGGTAGATTCACACTTTTAACTTTTTAAGCAAGCTATGTAAGACCTTCTAATCTTGAAGCATATGTGAACATGAGATAGATCCCGTACACATGCTAAGCATGTTAAACTTTGATTTTGAGCAAATGATTATATACTACTGAATTAATACTTAACTTGAAGCCTCAGATTATTATAACTATAATGATAATGATTGGACTATGTGTTCTATTAAAGTTAGAAAAATATATAGACTTACAAATTTGTGAGACCGAAGAATCCAGAAGCGAAATGTAGATAGGGAGCGGATCTTGTCGTCACCCATCAAGACAAATCACACATGAACCTTCCTCTTAACAAAGAGCACAACCGAAAAAAAACTAATAAAAGAGACTGAGAGTCATGCTAAGACAACCGACAAAACGATATCACCGAACGTCCAAAAAGAAGCATAGGGAAGCCACAGACGGAACCAAAACACCATGAAAGACAAATAAAGCGAAGAAGAAGAACCCAAAAATACTTCTGCAGCACTCCACTAAGCAGTCACCAGACCTTTATACAAATGACCATCCAACGAACTACTACACCCATTCCAGAACTCCATAAACCTCTTAGTCTGCAGAGAAGTTATCTCTCACTTCATCCGCTGCTTTCCTTTTCGCAATTTCTTCGAATTGTAGCTTGATTGCAGCCCTACGGATCCTTCTGGCAATCCTATCCTCCTGTGCACCTGCCCATAGAAGAGTATATCAGGCTACATTAGCTGCAATGTGAACAGAGTTAGGCTGAATATCTCTAAAAAGAAGGTAGTTGCGACTGTTCTAAATCCATCAATAGCAACATGGGAGCACAATTTTCCAAATGATTCTAATGTCCCTGTTGTCGACAGCGAAGTCTTTAAGAAAAATCAAATCGTCCATGAAGAGGGGCCAAGAGGCAGCACTAATGCTAGAGAATAGAGTAGACCATAAAGAAGCGGCAAAAGGGCATCTAATAAATAGATGATCCTGGTTCTCAACTTCAAGACTGCAGAAAGGACATCTAGGGTCGCCACTCCACCCCTTGGAGACGAGGATTGCCCTAGTGTTGAGCTTGTGCTTCCTAACAAGCCAAAAGAAGACTTTAACTTTCAGAGGAGTTGAAGATTTCCAAATAAAGTTGAAGTATCTTGATTTACTACCTCCCGATATCAGAGCTAAGTAGAAGGAATTGACTGAGAAGATATCTGATGATTGAAGGGGCCACCAGAGACAGTCGGGGGAAGAGATGGTTGCGCAGGAGAACGGTTCTAGAAGAGAATAAAGGTCCTGTATTTCAGATCTCTCTTCAATGAAGCGATCTCTTCTAAGAATGGTATGCTAATGCCAAGTTTGATCTATCACAAACCCTTGAGATCTAATGTTGCAGCCATTGGAGAAGGCAAGGTTGAAAGCCTTCAGGAAGAGACTGCACAAGGAGTTTGTACCGGACCATTTATCATGCCAGAATCTATATGTCCTGCCATCTCCTACATACCATCTTACAAAACTAAAGAAGACTGGGTGTATTGAGAACAAGTCTTTTAGAAGATTGGATGCATGAGCCTTAGGTATTTGTACAACAGGATTAGCATCTTCTTTGGAATATAGTGAGAAAAAAACTTTACTGATTAAGGAGTTCCTTTCAAAGATTTTCCAGATCCATTTGGATAGAAGGGCAATATTAAAAACAGAAAGATCAATGACACCAAGACCCCCTTCTTGCTTGGGCTTACAAACAGATTTTCATGCAACCAAACACTTAACTTTAGACGGATGATTGCTTCTATTCCAGAGGAAATTTCTTCTAATCTTATCAATAGCTTGGATAAGTCACTTTGGGAATTTGAAGAAAGAAATGTAATAGAGAGGAATGGAAGATAACACTGAATTAACCAAGGTTAGACGTCCTCCAATGGAGAGAGACTTGTTCTTCCAGAGGGACAGTTTTTTTTAGAAAATGAGTCTAAGAAGGGAAGCCAATCTCTTCTAGATAAAGAACCTTTTCTGAGAGGTAAGCCAAGATAAGAGAAATGGGAGAGATCCCACAGAACAGTTAAGAGTTCTAGCAAGATGATGGCTCCTATGAGGAATCCTACCAAGATAAAAGAGGTCAGTTTTATTGGAGTTCACTTGCAGACCTGATATATTGGCAAAAATGGGAAGAATGACTTTAAGGATGATCATGTCTTCAGTGTTGGCTATAGAGAAGATGATAGTGTCGTCTACAAACTGCAGAGATCTGATGTTGTTTAATTCCACTTTCAAATGAAGTTCAGATAAGTCTCCAGAGACAATACTAGAGGAGATCATTTTGCGCAGGACATCAGCCACCAACAGAAAGAGCATAGGGGAAAGAGGATCCCCTTGCTTCAATTAAGTTCAATGTGATTTTCTCCATTATGTAGCAAATACTCTTTCAGGAAGGCTTTTGTAGTAGGGAAGAGTGTGCTTTATTAATTCTATATAGAACTTTATATTTTAGACAAATTATAAAGTCGATATTAATGACTGTTGCTTTATATATTAACAAAAACATGTCAATATTTCCGCTGCGCACAACAAGTGGTATTAGAGCTCGGGCTACGCTTGGGCTATTTGGAGGAGTAGATCGCTTTGGAAGCTCGTCTAGGGCTTTGTTTGGTGATAAAGGTGGGATCTTTTGGTAAAGACTCTATCTTTTTAGTTTTGGATCTATTCTTCGTTCGTTGGTGCGTTGAGAAAGATGTCGGGGAAAGAAGGTGCTTCGGGTGTTGAGGGTGGTGCTTCTGGCACGAAGACCATTCAGAGTTTGAATATCACTCTATGAAGATAGATGTGGAGAAGTTTAATGGCACAAACAACTTTGGATTATGGAGATGCGAGGTTTTGGATGCGCTGAACGAGCAGAATTTGAAGGATACCTTAGAGTTAGATGATAAGCCAGATGATATTGAAGAGAAGGTTTGGAAGAAGATGAATCGAACGGTGTGCGGTGTGATTAGGTCTTGTTTGACTCAAGATCTAAAATATGATGTGATGAGTGAGACTTCTGCGAAGAAGATTTGGGAGATTCTCGAAAGAAAGTATCTGACAAAGAGTGTTGAGAACCGCTTGCATTTGAAGAGGAGACTTTATCGTTTCCAGTTGAAGAAGGAAACATCAATTAGTGATCACATGAACACCTACACAAAGCTTCTTGCGGATTTGGTGAATGTGGATATCAAAATTGAAACACCAGAGACCTTAATATTGAAACAGAAGAGCACATGCCCATCCTTGATAGTAGAAAAACCGAATATAGCCGGTTGAGTGCTGAGCAAAAGAGACCTTACATTTAGATTGAGTGGATAATAAGAGAAAGCGAAAAAATAACGACTCCACAGATAGTAATACCAATAGCACACGATGTACTTGATCCAGATGACTATGTATATCCTTACCATTAAATTTTGATTTATAATCCTACATCCAGAGAACTATGTATATCCCAGTACGACACAAGTACACTTGCATAAGTCAATATTGCTCAGATGCAAGCATTTTGTTACTTACTTTGAATCCTAAAGTTCAATCTGACCCCTCATACAATAAGTTCAATCTGACCCCTCATACAATAATATTTCTCATACAATAGTAATTTTATGTTTTTTAGTCTAGTTTGAATGTGCAAGAGCTCACCTCATTCTTTTTATCATATATTATTGGTGTTTGAAACTTAGAATTTGCTTTGATCAGTTAATATAAAATAATAATTTATGCATGTTTGGTCTACTTTGAATGGAGCTCACCTCAATTAAAAAGAGAGTAAGTTTCGTTCTTTTAGTCATGTATTTGCTGCTATTTGAAACTCATGATTTACCTAGATGAGTTAGCCAGATCAGTCATAATACAATGATGGTTTTATGTATGTGTGCTCTATTTGAATGTGCAGGAACCCACCTTAATTAAAGAGAGAGTAAATTTTATTCTCTTCTCATCATGTATTATCAACTCATTGTATAAATTGCATTTAGTAATGAAGTAAAGTTTTGTTTACTACTTTATGCTTCCTTTGGCAAAGGGTTAAGGAGGAAGGGGCTAAGAAGAAGGGTTAACATAATTACTCTATTTGTTAATCAAAAGGGTTACAAACTTTGATCCGTTAGGCTAGTTTATTTTAATCCATGTGGTCATTTTTAGTTTGGAATAACAAGTATTATGATCATTTTCTTTATAAATAAAAGGATCATCTCTTCATTCTTCTAAATAGGTGGATTTGTAAACTCTTCGTTTCAAGGGGTTAGTTTATATTAATAGAACTAATATAACTCGACACGCTAAGGTATAATGAAATCACACTGGTAATCTTGAACTTTGCGCATCTACAAGAGTAACCATAAAGTTACTGATTGTAGTTACACCAATAATTCTGGGAGATGCTTGCAGTTACAATTTGTAATCTCAAAGTTATTTGTGCAGACATGTAAAGTAATTACATCATATCTAAGGTACCTGGTAATAATTAGTGACCAAAGTTGAAATGGGTTTTATGATAAATTTACCCTCCTCCGCAAAAGTGAACAGAGAAAGACTGCCCCTTTCTCTCTGGTCCCAGGCATAGACTTTTTCCTTTCCTCTCTTCAATTTCCTTTATTCTTGCCAGCATCCAAATTATAGACCAAATCCCACGAAAAACAGACCCAGCTCTCCCCCAGCAAAAGTGTGCTGTACGCTATCAAATTAAGCAACAAGAATCAAAACCCAGCTCCACAAGCATCAGCAATCACCTCCTTGTCCGCTTTCCCCTCTCACCAAAAGAAAAAAGGTACATTTTTGATCCATTTCTGTACAATACCAAGATTTCTATTTTGGTTTCTATCAACCTACCATCATGGGTTATGTCTGTTTCATCTCATTAATTACCAATTAGTTGGGTGTTGTTTTTGATAAGCTCTCATTACACCAAAAAACCAAAAAACCAAAAAAAGAAGTTCATCCACAAGAAAAGGTATGATTTCAATCCATTTTAGAGCTGTCTTATGCTGTTTTCTATCAATTTACCATCATGGGTCATGTCCATTTCATGTTCATTAATTGCCACTTAAGTGGTTGTAGTTGTTGTTGATAAGTTGTCATTACTGTTTCTTGAATAAAGGGCAAAAGGGGAAAAGGGTTTGAGAGTAATGGGAATGGCGATGCCATGGAGCTTGATGGTGTATTTGATTAATATGGTCTGGATTATGCTTGATGGGTTTATCTCCTCCACTGTGACGGTGGCCGACGCGATTGCTGGTTCTCTGAGGGCCGGCGATATTGGCCCATTTCCGATCGGTTGATAACTTGAGCTCATGTTCCCCTTGTTGTGTGTATAAAAGGTCTCATCTCTCTCCTTTAGTTTTTGATTGTGTTGTTATTTTCATTAATTTGTGATATAGTTTGAATCTATTTGGTCTTAACTTCTTGCTTGGTATGTATTTTATGGTAATTGATTGTTGTTGATTTATTAGTTCTCATAGGGGCTTTATGAAAATGAGAATATGATGTCTGCCTGTCATTAATTGAAAATGTACCCAATAATTCACTATCATGCTGACCCTTTTCGATTTGCAGTGCTTACTTATGATTTTGTTGGTGATATCATTACTTGTGACATAAATTAATATGATTGGTTATGATTGGTTGTTGTACAGTTTATGAAAATCTTTTCAATTTTCATAAAGAATAGTGCGTTAGTCTCATGGACTATACTTGATTGCTGCTGGCTTCCTTTTGGAAAGGGATTTGAGAGAATGATGATGTATGGTAACTGCCTGCCCTCAAAACTTTTTCTTGCCATATGACAAAAGGCGTAAAATGTATAGCTGATCTTTTTTTTTTCCTTAAAATTTGTGGAAGAAGTTTCAGAGAGAATGAGAGCTGTGGAGGAAGGAAACAAAAGTCTATTGAGAGTTTCTGTTGAATTGTCATACAAAATTTAGAGCCTAAATGCTCTATTACAGGGATACACTCTCTCGTGTACAAATTCTATAGCCCAATATTATTCGACTATTTGAAGGAAATACAAATAAACAATACACTCTTACTAAAGTTTGTGAATCCCATAAGTCTGGAATTGTTGCTAGTTATAATATAGAGTATGTCAAACTCTAGCCTTCCAATTTTTATACGCTTGAAGATGAATTTGCGTGGGAGACTCTACTTACCTATGATTGCCCCGTGTCGTAACAAACGTTCAGCCTTTGTAGCTGTCAAATAGCGGAGGCTTCCTACCAAACACTTCTAAGGATGTTGATCACTTGATCCACCTTTACACCTTGCCTTTTTGCTGGCAATTGCTGTGCTTTATGCCAGATTTAGATGGAGTTTCCACAGGCTTTGAGATCTCTTCATCAAAATTCTCTAGGATTTCTTGAGCATACGTCATTAGATAAATATAGATTCCTCATTGTTTTGAGAGACTTAAAAACCAAGAAAATAAGAAGTGAGACCCATATCAATTAACTCTTGTTCACGAACCCTGCTTCCATTGGATTCATTAACCATGGAGGAATCATTTCCACTTAGTAAAGATCAAATTATCAACACGGAACAAGACGAATAAAATTTTACCTTCACAATCAATGTTGCTCTTAGCCTCTTACACCAATTGTCGTGAATTCTAGGGTTTAGTGTGGAACTTAATGGCGACAAGGACTTAACGGCAAACAAACGAACAAAAGAAACTATCGACCAAAGATGTAATCACGGCGAAAACGCGAGATTTACGTGGTTCGGCAATGCACTTCCGTCCATGTGAGAAGGTGGGAGTACCCTTTACTATCTTGAAGAAAATTATAATTTACAATGCTCTTATACCTTTTTCTTGAAAATCCTCTAAAAACAACTGATTTGTCTTCTTCCCTCTCTCTTCTTACCTTTTCTTTACAGCAGCTTAAAACCCTGGATCGCAGAAAAGAACCCTTATGTATGGCTATTTTCTTGTTCCCCAAAAAGAGTAAAAAAAACCGAGTCTGAATAGGACTCTTGACTCTGCAGAAAATGCCAATTCAGTTGACTGTTCGTTCGAGGATTTCACCATTCTGACTTCTGGCAGTCGGCTGCGTGGAGACTCCCTCCAGGCGATTGATCGGTCAGTCCATTGGTGCACCGACTATTGCACTGCCCATGTAAAATTTGGTCGGCTTTCAATTCTAGCCACAAGTGCAACGTAAAACGTTGTCTTCTTTGCTTTGTTTCATGTATTAGCAAATAATTACTGTAACACATACGGATAGTACTCTAGAGTGCCTATAAGTTCTGTAAAGTTTTTTACACAATAGCTTAAAGCATTAATGCTATCTTTTTACTTATAAATGTTTCATACCAGACCTTTCTTTTTTGGCTATATTTCTGATTTTCAGTCCATGCTTTGGTGTCATGTAATCATGTTAGTTGTTCAAATGCGTCAGAGAACCCCCTTTTAATATAACCTAATCGTGATAATTTTACATGCTGAACTCCAGGAATATTGGGTTTATGTCTGAAAATGGATTTCAACTGAGAAATGTAGGAATATGTAAATCAAGTGAATTTTACATTTCTCATTCCTTCCCTGATCTGTTATGATGATGGCATCTCACTTTCATTTGCATACTCTATTAAAGAAACTCTCGTGTTTATGAAGTCTTAACTCCGTTATCCTTTTTCACCTTTAATGTTTTGCTGGTAATACGGTATTATTGAATATTTGAATCTCCTATTATATTTGCAGACAATGATGGTGAGTTCTTCTGTTGGTTTGTATAAAGTTCCTCCAAAGGTAGAAGAAAAGAAAGAAATCTGTCAATTTTTGGAATTGTGGGTCTCCAAAGATGCATATGGAACTCGAGGTTGATTCAGTAGACAGTACGATCGTCCCTACATTCACAGAGCTGTTTAATGAAAATCTCTAAATGCCTATTTCTCCATATTCTGTTGCTTGTATTTCTCTCTTCTGATTTTACTCTTTGTATTCGAATTATAAACACGAGAGACGTAATTGTAAATAAATCATCTCCTTTCATTCTTGGTTATTTTTTCTTGAGTTTAATTTTCAAGTGAAAAATGCGCAGGAAGTTGGTCAACGAAGATGTAGGCTTTGTTTGTGTGGGGAATGTTGGTGGATATTCAAGTGTATTATCACCGGGTTCATCAAATCAATCGCAGTAGGCCCTATTTGAAGAGTTGCTAACATCAATCGAGAAAGTTTGGGGGATTTACCTTTGCAGGGTATCAACTAAGGCGATCGAAGATATCCAAGTTCAATACAAATCGTCGTCGAGGCTTTCATCTCTCTATTATCTTATGGGTCCGCTAGTAACGATCATTGTTTAACGACTCAGTTTTTCTTTTGCATCTGAAGGTGCCGTGCATGTTTTTATTGCAACGTTCAGAAGCAATTTTAGATTGACATGGTTGAATGAAACATCAATAACTCCTATAATCTAGTTGTGCTTGCGAAAACATTCATCTCCCTTTTGAACAAATCGTGAGTCAGAAACTATTTAGCTCTCAGCTTGCGATTGCACGTTGAGGTATAACGTCCAACTTAGCATTAGATTAATAGATTCTATCTCAAATTTCCTCAGAACAATGTTTGAATACAGAGAGTCTGTTCACCATAAACGTACGACCACAAATGCAGCTAAAAAACTCGACATGTACCAAATTTGGCAAACAGAAAACAAAGTATACGTGAGAATCAAAAGAGAAACTTCACTGGCACACAGAGGTCATATGATCATGAGAGGATTATGGCTTCCGTTCCGAAGAGCGCCGGCGAAGGAATCGGCCATCAACATAGTGAACGAAATCCAATCTTCAAGCACAGCCCACACCATGTGTAATATGTACAATGCAAACCTCCATGGCATTGTCATCCCCATGCTCCTCTCTTGATCCAATATAAAGTTGGTTACCTTGGAAGTATTATTGGTTCTTTGCTCTTCAGGAGGGTCTCTCTTCTTTATAACCAATCTTGTTATTAAAAAAAAAATTTCTTCAATTATGGGCCCCTTTAGCTAAAAGTCAAGCAAGCGACACTTTGCTTGCTTCACGCTTGTGCATGTAGTTTTCATTAGATTCTACCTACCTTTGTTTATGTTAGTTGTACCCATCTATCTGTATACTAATTGGATAGCGTCCGGTCATTCACGTATTTATGAGCTATGGAGAATATATGAAAGCGAGTGGAGGGAATTCAAGCAATCAAAGTTGATCATTTTCTTTGGAAGCAAGGTAGTATATTAGTTGGCCGACAACCTTTCATGATACAGTATGTGGAGGTGTTGAGCAAATTGAAAATCATGTGCGAGTGTAGAAAAATAAGGGTAAATTACATTAAGAATACATATATTAACCTTATCTAAGATCCTCATCTAGGGTATATCTCATTGATTTGCACTTCAGAGAAAATGTACAAACAGTTTGGTCTTTTATGGGAGGAACCATTAACCGACCTTAGCGCAGGTGGAATTTTGGCTTTCTTCAACTATGCGACCATCATTCCTTCATTATATTTTTGAGGCTTCCCTCTGAAAATCACATATCCAGTGAAATTTTCCTCAAGTCTTGCTGCCACTAGAGGGATCAAAATGGAAGAGGACTAATATGGTTTTTCAAAGAGAATTGTGCAGAAATTAGAACATTATTCTTGGGGTTAAAAGTGCTGACAGAAAATCAAGAATGAAACAGAAACATGAAAAATAGCATTCTTGCACAAATCTTTTTAGTTCTTCACTTGCTAAGATAACTAGATTTAACAAGAAAATTGAGCAAAACAAAGCATAGGAATTCAGATACCAAAGGGTCAGAATTTTTGAAATCTAATCAGAGGAGAAACACATCACCAAAAGGAAACAAGTAGCCAAACAACCCAAGTTAAAAACCTGTATAAGTAAAACAAAACTCAACCATTGATCATAGAGAACATAAAAAAAATCAAGAACTGATGAAGGTTAATATCTTGTGGAAATGTGCCAGCCGACAAACTTTCTATAAGAATACGCTACAGAATAAGGCTTAGGTATAGTTTGACAAGCACAAGTGATCAGGAATTTCAACTCCAGTATGACAGTCGACATATATTCAGAAATAACTTTAGGGTTTCGAGTTCTCCCGCCCTTTCTTTATTACACAGAACACGTAACGTATGTAGCTGAACCACACACTGTAGGTACATAATATGTCGGTGATTAAGAAGATACTTGTCTCCAGAACACTTGCTCCTGCTGCATGTCAGAACCAGCTACTCTGAGAAGGAAAAAAATCAACTATCAACAAAAACCGGTTTTGTTTGACATAGAATGGAACTAATAGTTTCATGTAGAAGCGATTTTAAAACTAGTAGAAACTTCTATTAATACATCTTACTCGACTAAGAAGGTTGCATATCCAATTCTCCATAGCTTTCTGGTCCTCCCTCCGACATAGTCCCATCAATATTTAAAGTCATTTTGGGGACTACCAGCCATAAAGGGAGGTAAATTTTTTTGTAGAAAGAACTTAAATTTTGGTATAGTTCTATACTTCAAAGGGTTAATTGCAGATAAGCCCCCTGTACGATCACCCAGTTGTGGATATAACCCCTATAGTTCTATTGTTGCAGACAGAACCTCTGAGTGGACTCTTTTACAATCAGGAGGTTTATTTGTCAAACAAATCTTTTTCTCTGAGCATTTTTTTTTTTCACTCAGGGCATCTATCTGCAGCAATAGAACCACTACAGGCATCCAACTGCAATTGAGCGATACTACAGGGTGTCTATCCGCAATTAAGCCTACTTCAATAAAGGTTTAGAAGTGAAGCTTACTGGGATTATGCAACATGGGTGACTGAGGCACTTCGTCATTCATAGGTCTGGTGCCTGAGTCTAAAGGCCTGTGGAAGAGCAATTGAGCCACTGTTCGGTCTATGGGATTTGTGTATGTTTCTGCATCAGGCAGTCCAGTATGCCTGCAGAAAGCAGCATGAATCAGGTTAAAAATAATTTTCGTGTTCAACAAATAATTGCAACTGATCAATGAACGTGCTATCCACAGTAGGCTATATTATGTTCATCATTGACTTAAGATAACAATTGTTTCACATTGATGAGCAAGTATTTATGAGCGATAAATTACTCAGCATAGCAAGTTTAGCATAAAAGGGACAGATATGATCTCCTATTTATAATTATGAAGACATGTGATATAAGTATCTTAAATACTATGAAGAAGATGGATCTGACATAGTTAAGAGTCTTAAGACATTAAAAGAATGGGTTATTTCGATATTAGCCCCCAAAATCTTCAATGCTATCCCCCTAAATCTTTGAAACTGGATCTCAGGTCCCCAAATCCTATTAGTATGTTGAAATAAGCCCCCCTAGTTAAAATCTGGTTAAAATGTGCGAGTTGTTTTGGGGTTTGGCGGGTTGGGGATTGGAGCGGGGATATTCTGTTACTTTAATTTCTTAGGTGATTTGCTAGTTATATATAGTCTCTCACACAAACCCAAGCCTATTAACCACGTTTACTCATACCTGTTAAGCTTGCCAAATCTGTTTAATAAAACCCTAACTCAAAACACATTTACCCTTTTTTTCATCTTCATAAAGCTACTCAGAATCAATTGGCAAGAGGTCAACGATTACTTGAGGCCTTCCTCAGGAGGAATCTATTCGTCACAAATTTGGAATTATGGCTGAAGAGAGCCGGTGGGGAAGACATTAGAGCATATGAAATAGAAAATATTTATGGGTTAGAGTTTCATTAAAATTATTTGGGATTTTAATGAGCATAAGTTAAAGTCGGTTAACTGCAGATTCGGTGTTTGTGCTAGAGGGTAGAAAGACGAACTATAAAAATCATGCTGAAAAAAAGTTAACAAGCCCCCCGCGCCCCCGATCTG